TATATCTATATCTATATCTATATCTATATCTATATCTATATCTATATGTGTGTGTGTATGCATGTATGTATGTATATATATATGTTCTGTCTCACCTTTCTTCTCTCCCAAAAGATGAAAAAGTACAAACTCACACAAACACAGGCAGGTTGGCTGGCTCGGACTTCACAGAGTTAATTCTTTGGAACTGATAACGTCTTTGGCATTCCAACACACTCTGCCTGCCAAGTCCAAACTGATAACAAGTAAAAAGCTACTTACAGAAAATTACAAGGCAGACCACAAAAATCATACACAAAGAAAACCTGAAGTAAGATCAAACTTTGTCCCGTACAAAGTTCCAGCCGACAACACACCCATTTTTATCCCCTGTGGGGTGTGGCTCAATGACTCAGCTCACTCTCTGACCCTCCCACGCCTCCTATGTTACTGCTCACGTTTCTCCCTACGACTCTGCCTAGGATCAAGCCAACATTCTTCCTCTTGACTCCCTGTCAGGGGCTGCTCCGATATGCCTTCCTCCTGATTAATTTCGTGCTGTTCCTCTCGGTTGTCTGATGAAACCTGAGGCATTATCAGGGAGGAAGGCATTGCCAGAGAGGAAGGTCCTGGGGAGGAAGGCATTCCCTGTTCCTTCTCCTCATCTTCCAAGTCCTCTGACAGCACAGGCTCAGGAATCGGAGCCACAACATATATACTTGTCTAATTTCAAAGTTATCTTAAAGAATAGGCTATGCCCAACAAGACTATTTATGTTACTATGCCCAACAAGGCTATTCAGATTACTATGTTCAACAATTCAAATAACTATGCCCAATAAAGCTATTCAAATAACTATGTCTAATAAGGCTATTCAAAGAGCTATGCCCAACAAGGCTATTCAAAGAATTATGCCCAACAAGGATATTCAATTAACTATACCCAACAAGGATATTCAATTAACTATGCCCAACAAGGCTATTTATGTTACTATGCCCAACTATTCAAATAACTAAGCCCAACAAGGCTATTCAATTAACTATGCCTAACAAGGCATTCAGGTAACTATGCCATTCAGGTTGTTGTAGGTATTGTTGCCCAACTAGACTACACATTCACACAATACTCACATACACTCTCAACACAAGTGATCAAGCTGTGTTAGAGCGGGCAGGGAAACAGACTTAGGGCATCTCTTGCTCCAACAAGAGTTGTCTCGCATTCAGGGGATCCAGTCTTCTCTTTATACCCAGCTTGTTTACTCTGAATCCATTTGTATGGTACATCTTGCCCTAATCTTATCAGCAATTTTACAATTTTACTCCCAATTTTACTCCTTTGTTCCATAACTCCATGAAAAACGCAATCTACTACATTTCTATGCTTACTGATGTTTCACCTGGTATAATTCACTTATACATACTTTCGGGATCTTCTGTTATCAGTAATACACACATTCCAGCAATGTGAGTTTCCCAGTGGGTTCAGGAAAAGGCTAGATATGGTTGTTCTATAAACCCACTATACTGAAGATCAAGGGTGGGCTGCTACCAGTTCTCATCGGTTCAGGTGAACTGAATATTAATTTTACTTCTGGTTCACCAAACTGGTAGTTGTAACGACTGGCTGGCTCCACCCACCTCTCCCTTCCCCTCCTAAGAGGCTCCACGTGGCTCGTTTTGGATCCTAGGTAAGTGCAGGGCCCGTGTGGAGGCTTGGGGAGGGCAAAAAATGGGCCTCCCGGAGGCTCCGGAAGGCTGGAAACAGGCCCATTTCCAGCCTCCAGACAGCCTCTAGAGCCCGGGGAGAGGGCTCCCAGAGGTTTGAGAAAAGCCTCCAGAGCCTGAGGAGGGTGAAAATGGGGCTCATGGAAGTTCCAGAAGGCCAGAAAAGGGCTCATTTCTGGCCTCCACAGAGCCTTCAGAGCCTGGCGAGGCTGTTTTCATCCTCCCAGAGGCTTGAGAAAAGCCTCCAGAGCCTGGGGAAGGTGAAAACACCCCCCCACCCCATGGTGGAGGTGGCAGACTAGGCCATGCCCACCATGGCCCCGCCCACCCAACAACCGGGCATAGAACCAGTTGCTAAATTTTTTGAAGCTCACCCTTGCTGAAAATGGCATTTAATTTTGTTGTTCGAGGTGCAATGACAATAATCTAATCTAATCTAATATAAACTAAACTAAACTAAACTCATGACTTATTCTAATATAGTATACATTATGTAGCATATTTGTAATATATTCACAGCATATAATATCTGTAACATAAGGAATAAGTTTCAGACTTATAAATAAGCCTTTACACACACACACACACACACACACACACACACACACACGGACACTTTGATACTTCTTTATTTATAGTTTAAAAAATATTTCCTTCTTGTTATGTGCTTTAGGTTATGGCCAGGAAATTTAGAAAGAGTGTCACAGTGTATAAGTGTTTTTTAGTTTAGTAGGAAATACATACATATGTGAGTCTCCTTTTTCCAACCATCTGTGATGACCCACTTGGTGCAAAAACTTACTCATTTTCAAGATGACCATGTATAATATGCATATTATGCTTCAATGTAGTACAGAGATATTCATGAAACAGAAGACTGTATACATATACAAAGAGAGAGAGAGATTAAAAATGCACACACTTGCAAATGCAGTGTAGTGTGGTGCCTGGAGACTTCCATGTGAGCACATCAGTTATACGTGGATGAGAAAAACCCTCTGCAGTATAAAGAGACATCATCTGGCAGGCTGTGCATGGATGCTGTGTACTATATGGGCCTCTTGTGCTTATTAATAAACATACCTGAGAGCTAGGTAGGTGACAACTATGTACACATACACATAGTATATGCAATTCTTTTTCTTGCTGTCTTGTATAAATGCTACTCTTCATTTAATTCCACTGTTTACATTTTTGTAAATTATGTGTAGCATAAAAGCTATGAATATTGCTGAACTCCAGTAGAAATTCCAGCAGAAATTCCAGCACCCCTTATAATTGGCCATGATAATTAAGAATATTAGGAGCTGTAATTAGCAAAATTTAGTTGCTGCCTCCATCTATCTATTGCTGCTTGATCAACACCCATCTGCCTACATTCTTTCTACAGCTCTTTCTACCTAGTGTTAGATATAATTTGTTTCAATGTAATTACTTTTAGTTATGACTCATCCTACTCTAAACATACAGCAGTTGTCAACAACTTCTAAAGTAGAAATATATGACACCTGGCTAAGCAAACACAAAATGTTTTAAACATCAGTAGATAATTAGATATCCTTTAAATATATTTCCCCTCATTCCCAACCAATGGAATGGCAAGGAATTAAAAGAGTTGTCTAAAATATTTGGAAGAGATATTAGTTTGTCTACTAGTCTCTAACTATTTTTTAAAAGATGTCTGGAGGCCCGAGATATTTTATCATTATGAAATTACCTGGAGAACCCCTATTTTTCTTATGTACCTATAAGCAAAGGTTTTCCTGCGGATTATAGATAAATGATAGCACATTCAGAATAGTATAGAATAACAGTTGGAAGGGACCTTGGATATCTTCTAGTCCAACCCCTTGCTTAGGCAGGAAACCCTTTACCATTTCAGACAAATGGTTGTCCAATTTCTTTTTAAAAACGTCCAATATTCAGGTACATATTAAACATATGTACTATGTTTAATATTTACACATATTAAACAATAATATTTTTATTACCATATGTGTTCATTAATCTACTGCTCATAGGTCTTTCTAGTAATCATTTTTCCTATCTATATATCTGGGATATCTTTCCTAACCCTAACAAGTATCCTTAGCTCTTACCTGTAGGACGGGTTGCTAATCTTTTAGACCTCAGGGACCACCAAACTCATAATTTTAAATCCCGCGGACCACTAATATGAATCCAGCATGCTGCTCGCTGAAGCACCCCTACTCCTACTGACAGGATGGGGTCCTTCAGACACTTGGATGCCTGGTTCTGCCTGGTTCTGTACTCAGAGTTATTTGGACCCATTTCCCACAGAAAACAAAACACCAGGATCTCTCATCTCTCTTTGTCTCTCATCTCTCTCTCTCTTCTCCCCCCGTCTCTTCCTTTTTCCCGTTTGCTCTTTCTCTCTCTCGTCCCCCCTTTCACCCTTTGTCTCTTTCTCTTTCCCTTCCTCTCTATCTCCCTTTCTCCCTTTTCTCTCTCTCTCTCTCCTCTCTCACTCCCCATCTTTCTCCCTTTCTCTTTCTCTCTCAGAAACTGAGAAGATTTTTTTTTAAAAAAACCAAGAAAACAGTTATCATTTAAATATTTTTACCAAATAAATTGTCTGGATGTGCTTGTGAGATCATCAGGAATAAAGCCCAGTCAGTCAACTTTACCTATAATATTTTTTAGGATTGAACTGAAGTGAAAACACTCACATCTGAATCTTAGAGTTTCTGTTCTGGCCATATTTTGAAACAGAAAGTAAAAAATGCCATCTATTTTTCAATCATGGATAAAAAAAAAATAAGAATTTAAAGTAAACTTATGTTATTTTCACTCATCCAAATAGCTTGTGGCTTTACAAAAGAATAATAGTAATAATAATAGTAATAATAATAATAGTAATAATAATAATAGTAATAATAATAATAATAATAATAATAATAATAATAATAGTAATAGTAATAGTAATAATAGTAGTAATAATAGTAATAATAAAAAATCACAAAGTATCACGACTTACAAATTGAAGTTGAGCAACTTTGGAAAAAGAAATCGTGTGTTATCCCAATTGTAATTGGAGCCCTTGGAGCAAGACCTAAAGGGCTGCCTCACTATTTGGAAATCCTGAATTTATCAGACTTGAATACCCTGATTCTACAAAAAACCACCCTACTTGGAACAGCTTATATCCTCCAATGCCACCTGAACAGTTCCTAGGTCCTTGGTTAGGTCACGAGCTGTTGAGCTACCAACCAGTCCCATTGGCTGTAAATCTCACTAAAGATTAAATAATAATAATAATAATAATAATAATAATAATAATAATAATAATAATAATAATAATAATAATAATAATATAAAAATTCACACGTGAGCTGAATTATGACAAGGTTGGCTGTATTTCTTGTAAAAAGGATGTAGCATCATCCATAATATGATTTCAACAATTTCCACAGCTCTAACCTTCTTCTCACATTTCTCTCTCTTTTCTTTTACAGTCTGTGGGCACCCCAAAGTACATTCCTCTCGAATTGTTGGTGGGAAGAGAGCTGAAGAAGGGGAATGGCCATGGCAGGTCAGCATACGAGAAAACAGACTTCATGTATGTGGTGGAAGTCTCATTTCCTCCCAGTGGGTGGTGACAGCTGCTCATTGCTTTAACGGGTGAGTAGCAGATTTGCATTAAATAGACAGTTTCTCAGCCAGTTTCTCTTCTTTAATGGAATCAATAATTGAAGATGGAGCTATAGCACTAGGGAATGATAGCACTTCAACTAAGTCCAAAAATTTGGCAGTACACCAGTTTTATCTTGCCTTTATGAAGATAGCATTAGCATTAGATCCACCCATGCCATGTAGCCTACCTGGCAGCTTTATGAAGATAACAAGAATATAATCAAAATTTTATTAGGATCAAAGACCTAAAGGAGGGAGACGTATAGCCAATTACAAAGCATAAAATACATCAAAGGCTAAAATATGATAAAAACTAAAAAAAAAATAAAACAAAATTATTTATAATAAACAAAGGCTTAAAAGAAATCTTAAAGGAGGGGAAAGTATTAGATAGGGATAGGGAACATAAAGTTTGGCAAACCATTTCACAAACAAAACATTCTAAACTGAGCTAAATGTTTATTAAAACTGGTTTATGGCACAGGTAAAATTCTGATGGATTTGAAGTGCTGCTGCCAGAACCTGGGAACATTATATGTTATAATAGTATTAGTATCGGTGAGTAGCAGGGAGGTATGGAATTACCCTGTGCTCCCTGGATATTTATACAATACAAATAGTTCTTGACTTGAACAATCAGTTGCTTAGCAACTGTTCAAAGTTATGATGGACCACCCCAAAAGGTACTGATGACCGAGCTCCAAAGTTCTGATGCCCACCCACTTCTCCCAGACCTGACTGCATTTCAGATGCTTAGTGATCATGATTTATGGCAGCTATACTGGCTGGAGAATTCTGGGAGTTGAAGTCCACAAGTCTTAAAGTTGCCAGGTGTGGAAACCTCTGATGTATGGCTTTGCTGGAAACCAGTGTTCTCTGATTTTTCAGCAAAAACGCCCCATAATGAACAATGGATTCACTTAACAACTGTGGTGTTTGCTTGATGAGTGCAGGTCCATTTAAGGATCATGGTGATTTGCTTAATGACACCACAAAAAGATTGTAAAATTAGGTCAGCCATGTGACCGGGCAGGCTCCATTACAGTGATAAGTCAAAGTTACAACAGCACTGAAAAAAGTGAGTTATGACTGTTTTTCCATACTTACAACCACTGCAACATCCTCATGACCACATGATCAAAATTCAGACCTTGGCAACTGGTTCACATTTATGATGATTGCAGTATCCTGGGGTTATGTAATTTTGTGACCTTCTGACAAGCAAAGTCAATGGGGAATCCGGATTCACTTAACAACCATATTACTAACTTAACAACTGCAACAATTCACTTAACAACTGTGGCAAGAAAGATAGTAAAATGGGGCAAACTCACTTAACAAATGTTTCACTTAGCAGCATAAATTTTTGGGTCAATTGTGATCGTAACTCGAAGACTACCTGTATAGGCAATGGAAAAATAGGTTGTTTCTGTGTGTCCAGAGTTACAGGGGCATTTTCTTTCTGAGTAAGGAATCGTCTTGTATTAGCCTTAAAGTACAGCTGAGAGGAATGCATGACATCTTGACAAAGTAAAGATCTCTGGTAGTTAGGCTCTTTGAGGCTAGTTGAATATGCCATAGGGAAGGCAGAGTGCCTGTTGGATTCATTGACAATAAAAGGTTGGAGACCTGGCTAAATCCAGTTGTGCTCTGCCACACATTGTTTAATGTGTGATTTGCCTAATCTTATTCCATTCTGAGTAGAAGGTTTGGAGAGATGCCCAAGGATGAGATTTTAGTTGCCACTACCTTTTCTCATGATGACTGAAAGTCGTCCTTCATAATTAATAGGTCAAGGCCAAGAAGAAGAAAAAAAGATAGTTTGAGTCCAGCTGCCCACATCTAGTCTCCACTTTCATGAGGCCCACCTCTCGTCTCAGGGTGACATTAGAGGTACATTTTGAGACTTGAAGGGCCAAGAAATCTGAATTTCTACTTTGCCTTCTCCCTCCTGATGCTGATCTTTGATCATAATAAATATTTGATTTGATGGCATAAATATATAAATGATGCTCTCCACAATGCTCTGTGAACAAGACAGAGCAACCACATGGTAAAAACATTGTCTGAAGCACTTAATTTGAAAGCAGCAGATTTCCTGTTGTGTTTCAGAGCCGAGCAAGGATGATAGAAGACTGATTATTTTTCCCCTTGGCTCCTATAGGCCACTAGTTGCATCCAAGTATCGAGTACATCTGGGAGAGTATGAACTCCCCAAACCAGCATCCACCATGGTCTCATCTGCTATAAGCCTGATTGTAGTACATCCATATTATGCTGGAGTTGGGCTGAGTGCTGATATTGCGTTGGTGAAACTAGAGGAGCCTGTCATTTTCTCCCGAACCATCTTGCCTATCTGCTTATCCACTGTTGCAGATCCTGAACCTTTCCCTGTAGGGATGATGTGCTGGGTCACTGGCTGGGGGGACCTCTATCCAGATGGTAAGAAAAAGGTGGGGTCTTCTTAGATTAAGTGCATAATTCAGGCTTCTACAAGGCATGAGGTCTCCATTTGGAGGTGAAGGATTTCCCCTTCCCCCAGTATTTTGAGAGGAATTAAGCTATAAACTTTATGGAGGGTTTATAATATTGTTTATTGCTGTAAAAATATTGTTTTTGCAGTAGTGATTTGACACTGAATTTTGGTGCCATGATTTGGAAGGCTCTGTAATAAATGAGTTGTGAGGCACATGTAACCCATGACTTACAGTCCTCATAACAGGGTTAATTACATTCATTGTTTTTGCAATTGCAATATGTTTGTTTTTTAATCAGCCACTTAGTGGCATCAAGAATGTAGTTGGTGGTGCAATAACATTATTGCAAAGGGTGTGGATCTCAAACATTTGGTAGATGAACTGGAGGAGTTGGCAGTGATTTAAAATGAGGCTTGCAGACTAAAGCACCACAGATACTTCCATTTACTCCTTTGATCTTTAAAAGCAAATGGAGGAAGGCTCCACCTTTAAATATTTAGGAGCTAGTGTTCAGTCTCAGAGTTTCTCTTATTTTGTTTTTTTTTGTACCAGCCTCTTTCGTCACTCGGACTCTGCAAAAATTGGAAATGCCAATCCTAGATGTTGATAAGTGTGATGAAATGTACCATAATGACTCCAGCAGCTCTGACATAGATACTGAAGTTTTGCCAAAAGACTACAAGCTAATTTATGATGACATGATCTGTGCTGGATATCCAGAAGGAAAGAAAGATTCTTGCCAGGTAAAAATAGAGGATGAGAGCCACGGACCAATTGTGATTTGTAGCAGACATTATACTATTATAGAATTTGCTTGTTTATCATGAGTTTGGGAACTAGGACTTTGTAATTTATTATATAACCATGCTGAGCAAAATGTGTGAGCCATTTTTCCCTTCAATAATTCAATAATGTTCAATTCTTGGAGGCTGCCTATTGGTCCCTGCAGCTTACTTGGCAAGGTTTTTCAGAAGTGGTTTGTCATTAACTCCTTCCGAGGGCTGATAGAAAGTGACTGGCCCATGGTCACCTCTCTGGCTTCTTGTCTAAGGCAGGATTAGAATTAGGTCTCTCAATCAGTACATCAAACAGATTCTTCAAACAATGTATACAGGATGGAAAAAAAAATCACTGGAATCTTAATACTGACTGTGAATCATAGTGGTCATGATAAAAATAGGTTCAAAACAGCTTCAGTTCTTAACTCAGGGTTTACCAGTAATATGAGTAATTATGATTGACAGTTGACCATGGTTGTTAAGCAACTGCAATGTTGGGTCTGAAAATAGAAATAAGCAACTGAATGCAACTGAAAGGCAGGTATTTTAGCACTGATTTCACTCTGTACTGTTCACTTTTTTTTTTGGCCAAGCCTCATATTTCTTACAGTAAAGCCCCAGATATGATTTATTTCTTGAATATGGCCTCTGATCCCAAAATAATTGCTCAAACCTGCTAATTGTTGATCCTTAATTGGCTAAAAGTTAGTCAACTAAAATGAAGTTTATTATAATTAAGAAGTAAAAGATTTTCTCTGTTTATAAGAAACACTAAGTTAGTGCAGTTAATTGTAGTACAAGTACTCTTGTTTAGATCCATTCTACCAATCATTTTTTCTCCAATGTATAGTGTCGTGTGCTCAATGAGCATGCTTGCAAATCATTAAGTGCATCTGCTCCTCCCCAAATATTTTTTACTAATAATTTTATTTGCTTATCAGTTCATAAACTACGCGGATTTTAACATCACCGACAACACATTTTTGCACATGCTTTCTTGTGGCTCCCATTTAAAATAAGGAAATTAATCTAGTTCTCCATCCCCCCCAAATGTAACAATAAGCAACCACCTTAAAACATTTTTCCATATCTCACTCTTCCTCTAGGTAGTTTAGGGCAGAACTGGTTTTGTTTCCTGTTGATATTTATAACATGTCTTAAAATAATGACAGCCTAAAGTAAATTTGATAAATTATGTGATGAAGCTTGAATGTAAACTATAGTTTCTCAATCTAATGTATGTACTGTTCTTGCAGTAGCAATAGCAATAGCACTTATATATAGCTTTACAGTGCTTTATAGCCCTCTCTAAGCAGTTTATAGAGTTGGCATATTGTCCTCAATAATCTGGGTCCTCATCTTACCCACCTTGAAAGGATGGAAGGCTGAGTCACTAAGGCTCTCAGTACATTCTTAATGGCAGTATATTTCCTCCCCTAAAACAATTTATCCAAAGTTTTGATTTTACATAGTCCTTCTGAGGCAGATGGTACCACAAAGCAGCAAGGAAATTTTCTCCAGTATGTCTCCGATGATGTCATAAATTACTGAAAGCAGAGTAACAAAAGCTTCTAAGCATGCCGACAATATCCTTAGCTAGCCTTCAAACCCATATCAAAGCCATTTAAGATCTAATATTGATTCCCCACAAGATTATTTTCACATTTATTTTTAAACCACCACTATTATTTTCCCCTTTTCAGTAAGGGGAAGGGCTTGGCTAAATAACATTAAGAGGAAGTGGTGAATGGCCAAATTCATCTCATCTGCTTAAATTTAAACTCAAAATGCACAGTACTTCCTTAGGTCTTACTTACTGGAAGAGTGATCCTAGTTAATTCTTTTCTTTCTTTTTAGGGTGACTCTGGGGGACCCCTGGCCTGCAAGTTGAATGGTACATGGTTTCTAGCCGGCATTGTGAGCTTTGGGGTGGGTTGTTCTGAACCCAACCGACCTGGAGTCTATACCAGAGTAACTTCTTATACGGACTGGATTCAACACACTATAGAAAAAAACTCAGTTTCTAATGATGGTGTCCCTCATGCCAGTGGGATTCCTGTTGTCTTTGTTTTAATTTTTCTCCTGAGCACTTTCCATGTAAGTGCTGTTGATTTATAATCAGTTGGAAATGTAATTGTAACACAAGTTGCACATAGCACTTGATATAATATTACCATTCAACTACAGGGGGGAAAATATAACCTGCATTGTGCATAGTGAAAAGTTTCCTGGATATCTGACTATATTAACCTCCTGTTATCTCTTTCTCTTATTATTAATCATTCTTAGAATTCTGATTTGGTTATATATTTGATAACAAATTAAAAAAAATAAAAATTCCAGTTTGTTTCCTTGAATCATTAGGGGCAAAAAGAAGTGCTTTGTGCTGTGAGATATAAGGACTTTCCAAGTAAAATGTTCCTCTCCCCCATATCTCATTCTTAGAGTGCCAAATTTCAAGTTTGTAGGCTTTACAGTTCTGGAGATTTGTGATGTGTGAGTGGTATTTCACTTTTATGTATGTAGAAGATAAAAAGATACTTCACAGGGCCTCTGGAAAAGAGATGCTTAGTAAAATTCAACTTTAGGAAACACCTAGCCATACTCTGAATCTAATAGACAGAGTTGGAAGAGACCTTGTAGGTCATCTAGTCCAATCCCCTGCCCAAGGGAATCTTCTTGAATCAAAACTAGTTTATGCGTATTCCTGAGACTGATCCTAGTATTCCTGAGACTGATCCTAATCTTTTGTAATTTTGGCATTAAATAACATGGGATCAATATAGAGAGAGTGTTTGTGTAGTACTTAAGGCATTAATGTTTGCCTTAGCAAATTCCCAGCTTGATTCTGAAACTTGTTAGTTGACTATGGGCCAACCACCATACCTCCGCTAAGTCTACTTCACAGGATTGTTTTTGCAGAGAGAGCATAATAAGAGATCCCTCTAGATACTAACTTCCAGAGGGGAAAAAAAAAAGGGGGGGGGGAGGGGCACAAAGGTAAAATACCAACATATTTTAATTTTTTATCTAAAATAAATTTGTAAAATGATGATAGTAGTTCACTGAGCTGGAAAAAGGCTTCTGTCAGTAACTTAGTCAGAGATATAAAAATTACAGTCATGGTTCTGGAGCAAAAAAAGAAAACAAAAAGACACCCTTAACTGACAGATAACTACGACTTAATTTGACAAATAACTTCCCTTTACTGCTATTAATTGTAATACAGTTCTTTTAAAATATCCTATAGTGCCCTCTGCTGACAAGCTTTAATATTTATTCAGATGCAAAAATTCCTCAATGGGAAAAATTGCAAAGAGGTGCTGGTTTAACAGGTGGCAGGTACTATAAGGGATTCAACAAAAAAGGAGGACCATCAACTCGGGGCTTTCTGCATTAAACTCTTCAGGAAATAGGAAATGAAAGCAACTCCAAATAAACAGATAATCTCTAAAAAGATATCCACCCAAGTTCACTCAATTACCACAATTGCCTTCTTGCCCATTTGTGTACGTTACTCCTATAAGATCCAGAGTTCTATTCATTTATATTCCTTCATTGCTTGTATGCCAATATTTCCAGTTTACTGGTTAGTTGATGTATATTCAGTAGCATGACTCGTATATCCAGAACTAAATAACCTAAGGGAAGGTAAGATGATCCCTCACTTGGTCAAGACTCACAGACTTACAGCTTGTATCATGTTGCTTGATCAATCCACCCTGAAATGCCATGGAATAGCACTAAACATTTTTCCATTCTCACATTGTTAATGTAGTGGAATCCTGTTAGCTTAGGTGTGAAAAAGCACTCTTCAGAAAGAAGATAGGAGGAGAGATTAGGACAAAATTTTACATTCTGAGTTGGAGGGAAAAATACCAGGCCAATATCATGTGATCAAGCTGGGACCTTGAAGTTGTTAAGACAATCTTGTCCTGATATAAATGGAAGATAAAAGAAGGATGTGAAACTCTAACCCTTGTTTTTAATTACAGACTTTGAGGAAGAAAAAAATCCTAACATTAATTTTGTTATTCTCTCCCCCCAGCCCCATTTCAAGTTTTGTTGTTTAATTTCCAGGATGATAAAGAAATTTGTAGAATGGTAAAGCTTTCGCTTGACTAAATGCCATTTTAGTTGTGACTTAAAAACAACAAACTCTGGAAGAAAAGACATTATTGACAAATTGGAATGGGTTCAGAGTTACGCAGCACAGCATTATCATAGCAGAGTTGGTTGAAAAGAAGTGATATGAACTCAGCCAATGTCTTCTTGTTCCTACAAAGTTGACCTTTGATTTCTGACTTGCACACAGAACTGGCTTGCTATCTCCTCCTGCTCTAGAGGGGGAGATAAAATTCAGCCATCTTTGCTCAGCATCTATACCAGTGTTTCTCAACTTTAGCAGCTTGGATATGTGTGGACCTCAACTCCCAGAATTCCTAATTGCTGGAAAATTGAGGGAGCCTGGTGAATTGAGGGAGCTTGGCGTATCCAAGTTACCAAGATTGAGAAACACTCTTCTATATCATTTGGAGCACATCATCTAAGTATTACCAGTTGCTAAGGTTCTTCAAATATCTTAGAAACATTGTTATAACAATCCATCTAGAGGGGCCTATCTGGAGAAAATACTGAATAAAGAATCAAAGGAATATCCATATAAATAATAAATACTATTATTATATACCAAATTGCTTTGTTCAAAGAAACCTAAAAAAAAAACCAGGTGACTGATGACCTGACCACTTTTATTCTTTATAAAGAGATTTATGCTGAAATCAGGCCATACAGTATTTTGCCGTACCAGTTCAGATGATGTAAATTTGTCCTTGGTTTTCTGTGATCTCATTTTATACAGCATTTTAAGTTAAAATGAGATTATCTATGTTGGCTTAATATGTCACGTGAACCCAGCCATGGGAGAATGCAAAGGTATATTCTGTAAAATTGTAATATTTAAAACAATTGCTTCTTATTACTCCTGATTAATTACCTTCAACCAAGAAAACATTTAAAAACAAAAGAGATCAAACCCCAGTAAGTTAACGTTAACACCAATAAATATATGAAGCTTGAAGGGAACATATTTTATTTTATTTTTTATAAATCCTTCCCTAAAAACCACTAGTGAGCAGGAGAAGACTTACAGATGTTAAAATGCCACTGAAAAATTGCTGGGCCAATCTGATGATTCTGCAAGAATTCTGTGAACCTGGGAACTGGACAAGTTTATGTTGATGAAAAATGGTAAAGTATTGTGCAGTGTTTAAGGTGTTAGACAAGCAAGTTTTCTGGGTAAATTCCATTCTCAATATTTCTCAGCTCAACCTAACACAAGGTAGATTTAGTGGGGATAAATCTTCTACAAAATATGATGATTTGAATATGTTTCCTTCATAAGCTTCAGGAGAGGAGATATTCCCATGCTTATGTCATTCCATGTAATTGTACATTGTCAATGCTAACCCTATCTATCAGATGTAGCCTGAATTAATTTTGCAAGACACTAAAATTGAATTTTAATAGTAATGTAGAATAAGGGGTTGATTAAATTTTGGAACTGAAATAAGACCTATAGCAAAATAAGCATGCTTTGGAGTCTGCTTTATTTTGTTATCAGAAGACATTATACAGTGTCTTTCTGGCTTTTGAAGATTCTAAAAGCAAGAGAAATGTTCAGCTGATGTCTTCAAAATTATCCTTGCCTACATCAAAATACTATTTATTACTAAAGAGTCTCTTCAGGGCATCCTTTACTTCCTTATTCTTCAAAGTGTAGATGAGGGGGTTGCAAAGAGGAATGATGACTGTGTAGAGCAGAGAAAGCAGCTTGTCAATCTTAATAGAAGCTGTCGTTTGGGGATGTAGGTATACCAACATTCCTGAGCCATAGAAAAGACTGACCACAATCACATGAGATGAACATGTGGAAAAAGCCTTCTGGCGCCCCATGGCTGATGGCATGTGCAAGATAGATCTAGCGATATAGAAGTAGGAGGTTAAGATGACAACTAGAGGAATCAGAGCAAATATAACATTCTCCATATATACTACCAACTCATTGGTGGAAACATCAGAACACGCCAGACTGAGGACTGCTGGCATGTCACAGAAGAAGTGGTCCATTTCATTGGGGCCACAGAAGGGGAGGGAGAAGATGAGTCCAATTTGTATCAACTGCATTGGCAGGCTGAGAACAAAAGAACCAGATACCAGTCCTATGAGCATCCTTTGATTCATTATGGTCATATAGTGCAGGGGCAGGCAAATAGCAAGATAGCGATCGTAGGCCATGGCAGTTAGTAAGAAACACTCAGCACCACCCAGGAACAGCATGAAGAACATTTGGGAGGCACAGGCTTTCAAAGAAATGGAGTGGTCTCCTGTGGCCAGGCTGGCTATCATTTTGGGAAGAGTGACTGAAGTGTAACATACCTCAAGTCCTGATAAACTTCTTAGAAAAAAATACATAGGTGTATGGAGGGCAGGATCCCTAGTTGTCACAATCACAACAAGTCCATTGCCTAGAACGACAGTCAGATAGATGACAAGAAAGGCAGCAAAGAAGAGCACAGGGTGTTCATGAAATCCCAGTAAGACAAACTCATTCACTGCACTTTTGTTCTCCCAGGGTCTGGCCAGTTCAGCATTCATCTAGAAAAGAACAAAGGAAAGTGAAAAAGATGGACTTCAGGGAGTGTGACTATTTCTCTACTTACAAAATCAAAACTCTGTAAACTACCCTTCCAAAACCTAGTATTTTCAGTTTTGTCAGACTGAAATTCTCAACATTTATCTCACCACCATGGTATTAAGACATTCTTGGAGCTTAAGTCCAGCAAATTGTGAATTTCTTGATCCCTTTGCTCCTCCAAGATATTTTAGTAGGAAATTGAGGTTGCCTACAAAATCGATTTACCAGCACACCAAATTTGAAATCACTTTCATAGGCTAAAACAAATAAAATCTAGCCTGAATATATCCTCAGGAAGGAAAGCAAGAAGAAATTTGAGGTCAGAAAATAACAAAAATGCAGACGTTGTTTCAATAATTTCAAGTTCCTGATCTTCAGCTTTTGTGCCCACCTCACTTTGACATTAAAAAATGTGTACTATTATATGGTTTTGAATTAGATAATCTAGGATCATGTATTTGGTATCAAATGAAATGCTGCACATCTTTGGTAGATCTTTGGACCTTTTAATATCATTGTTTCTTAAATTATCAATAATATTGATATATACTACTACCAACTTAA